GTGCCTGGGCCGTTGCCCAATGACAAACGCATAACCGATTCCCAAACCCCGGGATCCCTGTGCCCCCCAACATGCGACCCTGTCCACACACGTTCAGGTCGTGTTGTTTCATTCCCCTCTAGCACAATACGTTCCATGAACCACTTATCGAGTTTTGCCTACCAACGCAAGCTCTAGGGGGGGGAGTTCTGTAGTGGTTGTGATTACACGGTATTTTATCTTTGTTTTTATCAGTTCCGTTACTCATCATTTTGTACCATTTGTTTAAATTCACAAATTTCGAATACAACAAATTCCACGCGCTCGCGCCGTGCTGCTTTCGGTTTTGCTGCTGCTTGTGATTGTGCTGCTGCCACGTCTATCCACTACTCGGATTATATGTTAGAACCTCTAGTCGGCATCGGACTAACATCGATTGAAGAAGGAACTATAACGCAAGTGCATTGATTTTTCCTCTATTTTGTGTTTTTGCTTAAGACTGCATTTTTCCCCAGCACTAGAACTCATTAGGCAACGGTCCCCTACAATGGTTCAGCGATGCTCCAGGAGAACAGACAGCTATTTAAGGGCGCGACCAGATATCAAATTCAAATGGGACAGGAACAAAAATAAATTTCCATGGTCGTTCCATCCTGTATGCATCGTTGATCCAGGTTAGAATGCGCGTGGCAAGATCGGCCAATTGTGGGAGCCAAATCAGCACGTACAAATCAAATCACGGTCAACCAATAAAATCCCACGTGCCCTGCGCTATCAGACTCCGCTGCGCAGGCCGAGTGAAATAAAACAGAAAAAAATTGTAGACTAGATATAAGCGGATGAGTACGAAAGAGGACAGTGAAGAGGAAGTTAGTAAGAGTGAATGAAAAGGAAGGTAGCTGGAGAGCAAACAGAAACTAAATTAAGTGGAGGAGGGGAATATTCGGAGATGCAAGTTGAGGGCGTCGAGGCGACGTTTAAACTCTGTCACCGTGGATGACAAGACTACGTCCTCAGGTAGCGCGTTCCAAGAATCTATCACGGCGTGACAAACGAGTGTCAGCCAAACCTGTTCAGATCTGAGTTTGTGCAACTTCATCGGATGTCCGCGGAGAATAGGTAACTGTGTGAGGTGAAAAATCCAAGAAAGGTCTGGACCTATCCGCCTCGTCAGTATACAATAAGTGAGAACCAGGTCTCCACGAAAACGACGATAATGTAACGAAAACATCCTTAGCTTGGGCAACCTGTCAGAAAAGGACAGGTGCCGCAACCCGTGGACCATTTTGGTTCCGAGTCTGAACACCCGCTCTATCGCCATCCTGTCAGGTGTCAGACAAGGAGGACAAGCCTGGACGTAATACTCCAGGTGCGGTCTAACTAAGGTCGTAAATGAGTTAACAAACAGTGCTTCCGTTAGGATCAAAAATGATCTATAGATCAATCAGAGGGATCAAAAATCCTCGAAAAACGCTTTCTTCCGGTTCTCACTAGATTTAAAGTCCTGAGACAAAGTGATCCCTAAATCAATTTGTTGGAATACGTGAGGAATTTCATTATCGCCAAGCGTATAGTCCGTTGTCGGACCACTTGATCCTATACGCAGAACTGAACACTTGCTGGTCTATCTGCATCTGCAACAGAACGGACCAATCAAGGAGTCTGTCAAAAGCCTGTTGAAGAACCTAGAAGCCATCGGGGTCGGTCACCGCGCACCAAAACTTCAAGACGTCGGCCGACATGAAGGTAGGCAACCCCAGCACTTCTGACAGTTCAGTTACGTACGTAACACATCAATTGACCAGGAACTGATGCCTGCGGGACACCGCTCAGAACTACCTGTCGGAAAAAGAGACGAGCCCACCTGAACACATCTCTCGCCCTTCAAGAAATGCGGATAAGCATCGAAGCGCGTGCCCGGAAACTCCAAAGGAACGGAGCTTAAGGGAAAGATATGTATGCGGGACATAGTCAACCGTTTTGGATAAGTCAATAAACAGTAAATTCACTGATTGACCGTGATCGACAGACACCGCATAACTTTCCCCAGTAACCTTCAAGTTAGGCAGGAATACCCTTCGTGAAAACCATGTTGAGACGGGCTGAGAAGGCCAACCATACTAAAATGGTTTTCGAGGGCATCCTTCACCAGCTTTTCTAGCAACTTAACCAGCACACAGGTTAGGCTGACAGGCCTGTAGTTTACAGGAAGATGCTTATCTCCCATTTTCAAGATGGGGCAAACTACAGCTTCCTTGCGGTCGGTGGGTAAGGTGCAATTGGTAAGACTTCACAAACAGGCAAGCAACGAGCCCACAAATTTCACTTGCCAATTCATATAACAAGTTTGGATGAATGGCATCAACACCAACGGCTTCAGCAGGGTTCAATTCTCGCAGCAGTGAAAGTACCAGGGCCTCTGACACGGTGATATCGGTCAAAAAAGTATGTCGGAACCTTCTCATCCAAATGGATAATTAGCAAAGGAGACTTGAGAGTAAATATTTTCGCATACTGTACGCCGAGAAAACAGGACTTATCGTGGTCGGTATGTGCAATAACTCCATCAGGTCCGTGCAACACCGGGATGGATGGGTCCACACGGCATCGTCTTTTGACGTAAGCGAAAAATAGCTTCAAATTGCTTGAAGCTGTTTGCTAGCTCCAATTCGTAACGTAGCCTGGCATCCCTTAGGTGCTACCTATGCTTGTTCCGTGAGCTCGATAACACCGCAAGGCATCATCTGACAGAGTCGAAAGGCAACCCGAAAAGATCTGGTCCGCCTGAGTAGCAGTTGAGGTGCGGTTAGATGGAACCAGGGTGGCTTAGAGTTTGCTTTACTTCCAAATGAAGGCGGAATGTGGGGAAGGGACACCTCAGAGAGGAATACCTTGAATTTCTCCCATGCCGTCTGCGTATCATCTGTGGTGCAGAGTGACAAGGCGGTTCTGGATCGCATTGCCTGAAAATCAGCATGCCAGATGTTTGGGCGTCAAGTCACGCATTTCTCTTGAACTCTATTGAGAGCGCACTCGAAGGAAATGTAGGCTTGTTCACTAGCTCCAAGCGGCTGACTGTAAACTATGTTACGAAATCAAGTGGTTTTTCGAAAATAAGATCAAGAATAGACGGAGACGGTCCCTCCATAAATCTTGTTGGCAGATTTACAAACGCATGTTTGGAGCATCAGCTCCACGAGCTCTGCACCAAAGCCTAGTCGCCGTCTCTCAGAAGAGTTTGCGCCAATCTATCTCTGGAAAGTTATAGTCCACCATCACCAAGCATCGGTTTGTAGAGTGAGCGCGAATAAAATCAACGTAACTTGTAGAAGCACTATTAGGACTTCTATACACTAACCCCATTTTAAATTGCGAAAACAGGGTACACACTTTAACCGATAGGGCTACCACGGTCATATCCGTTGAGTGGAATTTAAATGTCTTGAGGACACCTAAACTACACTTTAGGTAGAGTGCATCACCACCACCATAACGGTCGTAGGGGCGACCGGACCTCAGCAGTGCGTACCCAGATAGGAATACTTCACTGTCCATGACTTCCGCTGACAGCCACGTTTCAGTGAAAGCGAGGACATCTGCGTGACAGTGGTCCACAAGAGCGCCAACCTCGCACTACTTGATACGCAGGCTACGTATGTTACTGACTACTACATTAGGGGTCTTGGTATGGTGAGTCCAGGATCGTGCGCCACCAGAATGGGTTCAGGCATGACGGAAGTGGACTGCCGGCGCACCATGCGTAAACCCATCAACCGCAGAGCGCTTTCCCCCGCCGCGCGACATGCCTTAAGGTCTTAGATGGCCGCTTTTAGTTCCTCCCTGTCCGCTAGAAGGAGGTTCCACTGTATGCTGATTCCAGAACCTTTTGGTTAAAAGTAAACTACATAAATGCTTATCGCTCCTCTGGTGTGGTAAGGACCGCTTGCAGTAATCGTCTTGTGGTAGGCTTACTGACCAGTACGCATCCAAGCTTGGTTAGCTTATGCAAAGCCACGCCGGTGAATCCAGGAGGCATGAGATTAGTAACGAGAATATTAACCTATTCGATATCATGTAACATCTTTTCTTTTGAAGATGAGGTAGAGAACACAATAACATTTCTAAAGATTACGCTACTATCTGTGTACATGTCTTCCCGACGCGGGGTGTTTACACCGCGTGTTACAAAACCACTGGGTGGGAACATGTACAACTTATCCCATACCGAGCTGGAATCACTGGTTGCGCCAAACGGAGGTTGTGGAGCTAGCGGAACGGCGATGGAACACAGTTCCGGTGGCTTTGTACGTGGGGGCCTTGTCATACATACTTCGGCGCCATTCGCTTCTAGCTTAGGTGTGGTTAATGTCTCCTCAGTCTTCCTTCGCTTCCTTTTGACGAGCGTATGAGCCTATAACTCTTTCGCGTTAGGTGCTGAGTTGAAGATACCGTCTGACAAGTCGCCAGTAACAGAAGACGCGTTTACCGAAGTCGGTAAGATCGTCAAATTGCTCGTCCGAGGAATCGCACACACCCTCGATATTCAGCAGACCAGGCTACAATTGTCGTCACTTTGCAGTCCAGGTCAGCCAGCAAAGAAAGCAGATTTGCTATGCGTCCTAATCTTGAAACAAGTGCCGAAAACTTCGCATCCAAAAGCGAACCACATCTAAGTGTTTGCAACAAGTGGGACAACTAGAAAGCACACTCACTATTCGCTGTCACATTATACTGCTCTGTACTCAAACCAGTGCATCTTTCGTCAAACTAGCGACAGCAGTTGTCACAATGGAGTTGGTCACGGGTTCTAAGCGTCGCAATTTACCATATTGTGTCTCCGAGTCAGATGATTGTAGACTGGAAGACTAGTTAGGACATCCTTTAGCCAGCACAAGAGGAAATGAAAGTAAGAGGACAAGAAAACGTGAAGTGTGAATTGGTTGGCAGACCCACTACGCAAAAAACGAATGACTCAATCGGATCTTACCAGACGTAAATGGTTCGTACGGATTTAAACTTACCAAAGAAACAGGTTGGAATTCACAAGGCAAATCATTGGCCTAAGGTGATGTAGGACAAGCAGTGCTCCGGGATGAGAACAGCGACGTCACGTGTGATTCTCCAGCAGAAGCAACAAAAGAGAATCAGAAAGGGACAATGGATCCGTATGATCGTAATCCAAGGTTATCAACAATTTGAGAACTCGCAGATACGTAATCGATCGAAGAAACGGATGAAAGTTCTGGAGCGAAAATGCGGGCGAGTTCTGAAGTGAAGTAACCGTATATCACTGATCCCAAGATGATTCGGTACTGAAAAGCGCTTAAGGGAAAAGAAGCACGCACGCCGTAGTACGACAAGCAGCGAAAAGCCGGCAGGTGATGGACTCCAATGATGTTGGAACTTCCGAGTCTCTTTGGATCAGAAGAAAGAGTGACAGTTAGATTTTCAGTTTAGTGCTATTCAACCACTGCTATCGCAGTTTGCACGAATAAAATCTCAAAACTGATGAAAAATCGTAAGCAGGAAAAAGGAACAGGAAGAATTCCGTGTGTGTTGAGACTTTCAAGACGCTTTGAATCACAACAGATAATGCCAAATCCAGAGTTCCAATTCCAAGTTATCCAAACACAGTCGCCTCCCAAAGCAGTAGGAACAGTAGGAAAATCCCACGAATGTTCCACACTGGAAAAGTCCGTTGATGCAACAGGGAAACGGGTGCCAAATCAACACACACGATTCACATGGTCAACCAAGCAATGCCCACGTGCCTTGCACAAGCAGTCCCCGCGTTGCCGGACAAGTGAAAAATAAAAGAAAGAAAAAGCTCCACTTCTTATGCATAGGCAAGTAAATCAACTCAAACGTCGAGGTGCAGAAAGATAACCATGTGCAAGCCGTAGAATTGACAAGTGCAAAAAGCCAGGAATAAGGGCGAGGCTGGATGCTGGGGTTGGACCACCAGTAGGTATCAGGGTTAGGTCGTATGGACACCGCATTTAAAACGCATAATCTAAAGTAATTAATAATAATATAAATGGTTATGGCTTGTAGTTATGTTTCAGGGTTATTCCTGTTTAATCACACCATTGGTTTCTCACTCATGTGAGTCATTATATTAACGCCAAAAGAAGTAACGGTGCGCAATGTGTTACCTGTTCAAGCACGTAGCACAATGTTCTGATTTGGTGTATACCATGAACAATAACAGATGCGTAATAGCTGTGTGACATTCACTAGTAGACCAGAGACACTGCCCAATATTTTGAATCTCCGCCACCCGCGAATTCCCCGGTTTCCAGGTTAGCTGGCTTGTATTGTTGACAGACTGTTAGTGCGGAAGATTATTTCGTCTTGGCGGGCTATTTAGATACTGCGCGAGTGAAAGCTCATTGATTGATGCTTATAAACGCCAACCAGACTGCACTCTAACAAGCACAAGTTCAAGTTCAGGTGGTACTAGAAGGGTAGATTAAATTCCAGTGAACTTTCCTTTCGTGGCGCGGCATTGATCTAGGTTATTATTCGTCCGTGATAACTGGAATCTAGAAGAGTCAAGCACGCACGCGCGAATAGCAGCACGGTCAATCAAATGTCCATATGCACAAAAGCATCTACTTCAATGGACTTAAAAACTGTCTGACCTCGACGCTGTTGGTTTATGCTCAAGTTCAAATGGGATTGGAACGTTTGGAAATTGCCGTGCATGTCCTTTCGTGTGAAAGTCCTTGACCCTGGGTGTTTATTGAGGTCAATATCGGCAACCTTGTATGGCCACGGCAGCACTCAGGAATAACACCGTGAGCAAACCATTATTCTACACGTTATCTGCCATGACAGTCCACGCTGCGCCGAACACTTCGAGCAGGATGGAAAATATGGACCAATAATACGGCGGAAATTACCAGAAGTAGAAAGATCATTGCAGCCATAATAGTTATGAGTAACCTACAGGATGTGTAGCGAAGCAATGGAACTGCAGCTTAACGTTATCTTGTTTATGTGCCAACACTGTCTTTCCATTACTTGACTCACCTCATTTACCCTCATCTCGTAACCCATTTGGACTTTATAACGACCGGCGTTGCAACGCCCTATCAATCCAGCTACTGTCGCAGCAAAGTTACAGCAAAGTTTATCACATGCTGCACGGGGGCATCTAGCTCGTCTAGCTGCGCTCATCCCCAAATTAGCGTTAGCTCTCTTTCTCTGGCGTAAGACAACGCTCCGTTCTCGGACCGGAATAGTTCAAGATATATATCAATGACCTACCAAGTATGTTACAAAAGGACTGCCTGATCTATGCATAGGACCTCAAGCTATGGTCGGAAGTGTCCAGCCTGGAAGACGTCGACTGATTACAGGATACGCTTGATCTACTACACTCTTGGCCTATTAAGTGGGGATTGCCGGTCAACAAAGATAAGTGCTTTGTCCTTTACGTAGGTGTGGCTGAACTACTGGGGTTCTACCACATTAGCGGGCACCTAGTCAAAGTTGCCAGACCGGACAAGGACCTGGGGACATTAGTATCCTCTGACCTCAAAACTACCCCTGACACATTAAAATAAACTGCTGCGGCGAACAGGATGTGAAGCTTCATAAGGCGATCATCCTCGAAAATGACGCCGCCGATATTTAGACATTTTCCACTTCCCACATCCGTCCCATCCTTTAACTCCGACTTCCGGCCTTAGTCCCTCTAGCAAAGCATGAATGTTACAAGATAGAAAACACGCAGCGACGCGACCCACATTTATCCTTGGGCTAGGCGAACACCCGTAGCCCGCCCGACTACATAGTATGAAACTTTCCCCTTAGACTTTAGTTGATGTCGTGGAGACCTTACTTACAGCAGGCGTATCCTACGAGTAGAACTGGGAAATGAGCTGAGGCACTTTTTTGGGCTAAGACTTGGCAGTTCGACCCGAGGTCACAGCTGGAAGCTGGTTAGACCGAGGGGATTCAAAGTCTGCTCAGATGTTGCTCTCTGTACTCGAGTAATTAATGACTGGAAATGGCAGTCGGATCAGATGGTCAATGCGCAGTCAGAAGCGAGTTCAAACGTTTGCTAATCATTTTCATACTGAGTATTCCAGGATCCTGCAGGGCTTATACTACCTCCTGAGCTATGACACAGTTACTACGCCCGCAATTTTTTGAAGATCGGGACGCGAAGAGGTTGGCTCGGGACCTCCCTCCTGCTCTCTGCCACTCAATAAACCATTGAACTCTGGGCCACTAGTACGGCACCTACAAATTGTGACGCTGCGTTGTATCTATTTAACTTCTGCATTTCCCTTCATATTTCCTTGTTCTTCGGATTTGTATCTTGACTTCATGTGGCCGCCAAACCTTTTGCGGATTTTCCGTCACTTAACCTTGCACTTACCTGCTCCCACTGCTTTTGATCTTTGCCATAAATATTTGCACAGCATGCTACTGCCGTTCCACTACCTTACTCAACTCCTCTACCCTCATCTCGCAACCTTGTACGACTTAATAACCTAGAGTGATACAGTGCCCCATCCACCCAGACACTGAAGTTCACTTACTTCCATGACACCGCTGTACTGGTTTGTTTAGCTCCGCTATCAGCTCGCATCCCTAAGTCGTTGTTAGCTCTCTTTCGCTGGTCCTCGAGAATGCCACCTACAACGCGTGACGCAGCGCAGTATCCATGCAGCTTCTGACGTTGACTTCCTAGTTACTGGTTTCCATGACTTATAAACTTTACTGTACCTAGCCGCCAAACTTTCTGCAAGCTTTCAGTCTGCTAACCTGCACTTACCTGACCTCACTGCTTTTCATCTTTGTCACAAATATGCGCAACATATGCCGCTGGCTTTCCATAACTTGACGCACCTCTTCTACATTCATCTCGCAAGAATTTTAGACTAAATAACCTCGCGTGATAGAGCTCCCTATCAACCCAGCTACTGTCATTCATCCAATTCTACAGCAAAGCATCTTCACATCGCTGTATTCAAGCGTCTAGCATACCTGTCCGTCCTCACCTTCAAATTGGCGTTAGCTCTCATGCTCTGGTCAAGTATAACGAAACTACAACGTGCGACGCAGCATAAAAGCTATGCAGATCCTGACGATAACCTTCTATTCACTTGCTACCGCGGCTTATAAGCTTGGTCGGAAAGAGCCGCTGAACTCTCTAGTGGCTTTCGGTCACCTAACCTTGCACTCAGCTGCTGCTACTGTTACTGCTCGCTGCCACACATCGGCGCACAGCATGCCACGGGCTTTCCACTACTTAAATTGCTACTGCTACCCTCAGCTGGCCAAGTTATTACACTTAAGCATTCCAAACGATGCAACATCCTCATCACCCAAATACTGACGTTAAATAAATGCTAGAGCGAAGTCTGTCACACCACCGTGATGATGTGCTTACCGCGCCCATCGACACTCAGCTTTAAATTGGTGTTAGCTCTATTCCTCTGGCCCACCAGAACGCCCCTACAACTTGTTACAGTGCGCTGTAGCTTCCGTCGTTGTCTCCTTAGTTCCTTACAACACGGATACTTAGCTTGATAGTATAGGGCTGCTAAACACCGCTGGTTTTCCGTCACCTAAACTTGCACTTAAATCATCATCCTCCTGCACGTTAGCTAGAGGTGGGGATCACCTCAGCTACTGGGCTGCCATCCACAAGAAAAAGGAGAAAAAAGCTACTGGTGCAATCCGGCGGAGCTACCGGTAACGGATGGGCATCGTTCCGGAAATCTACCAGCCGGCTACTGTGCATCAGAAAACAATTACTATGCAAAATTATATAGGGCTAACTAATGAGATCGCGGTTGGAGAGGAGGCTAAGAGGGATGGGGTGGGACAAAGTAACGCACAGCACGAACGCCACTGGGGTCGGCTCCTAGTCACATCAGCAAGTGTGCCTAACCAAACGTGTTCATCGTCTTTCGTACCCCAACCACTGAGCCGAGACGCTCCAACCGAGGCCAGCTCAGAAGTGAGGACCTTCCTTCCTCTGGACCAAGTCATCGCTTGGCCACCCCTCCTCTTCTTCCATCCACATCCCCGGTGCACAAACAATGCACGTTGCGCAAGTCAGCGGGCTGGCATACGTAACACGTGGACTAGCCATCGGAGCCTGGTGCGTGATTTAACGGCGCTGACGGTTTCATTTCCTTTTCTGGGCCATAAACAAGGCGTCGAACACGCTCGTTGCTCACGCGGTGTTCCCACCAGATTTGAGCTAACTTACGAAGGCACCGGTGGTCGAACGTAACTAGCCTCTTCAGGTCCGCTGCTTTAAGCGGCCAAGTTTCACAACCATACAGTAGGGTCGAAAGTACCGCTGCTTTGTACACTCTACCCTTCAGGGCAAGAGTGATGTCGCGCCAGCGCCATAAGTGGCGAAGGTTAGTAAAAGCGCCCCGAGCTTTTGCTATACGATTCTTGACTTCATCTTCAATCCCACGGGCGTTGATACAACTTCCCAGGTAGTTGAATTTCTGAACGACTTCTAGCTGATGCCCACCAAGGGTCAGCGCAGGAGGCGGTCCAGACCAATCTTGGAGGAACGCTTTGCACTTCGTGAGTGCGAAACAATGCCCGAAGTGACGGACAGCTAGTGCTACCCTGTCCAGTGCCGTTTGGCACGTCTGGGAGCTGTCACAGATTTTGGCAGTATCATCAGCATACTCTAAGTCAAGAAGTCGTTCACCTGGGAGCAGAACCACACCTTCTAAGTCGTGTTCTGTGAAAGCGATTTCCATGACTTCGTCAACAGCGAAGTTGAAGAGGAAATGTGACAGCGGGCATCCTTGTCTCGCACCGCTGGAGATTGTAAAAGGCGGCGACCGTTCGCCGTAAGCCCTCACGCTGCCCGAGCTACGAGCATATAATGCTCGGATAATATTTACATATTTTTTAGGCCACCTTTCCTGAGTAGACTGTCCCAAATTGCAAGTCCATCCACCCAATCGAATGCACCTATG